CTGTCCAGGGTGTACCCTGCCTCTCGCCCTATGACAGCTGGGATAGGCTCCAGCGCCCCCCGCGACCCTGAAAAGGATAAGCGGAAGCGAATGGATGGGTGGATGAAGTATCACACTTGGTCAGATTATTTAAACCACTTATACCAACAAACAAAATAATCATAATAAAAATGCTCGTGTAGTGTAAATGGCAATGTACACCTGTGTGGCAGGATGTTGGACCTAAACAAGGCACTCAAACACGGGATGTTAACCGAAAACGGCAGCTTTATTCCTGGAAATATATGGGCTCAAATTGTGGTCATAAATATTTTGTACTTGTAAATGAAATGCGTAGTTGTGAACTGAGTTTTGTAACCTTGTAAACAAAAATATCTGAAATTTTTATGTTTGTGCATCTATAGATTAGAATTTGTGTGTGTGTAAAAGAAGATTTACACAAGTTACATTTTTTTTGGTTAAGGTCTGGTTACAGATACAAAGCAAAAAACTCTGAGCTCATGTACCCTGCTTGTGTGTGACTTTCAAATTAGAAGTACAAATTTTGACCCAATTTTTTCTTCCTTTCAGCTGATTGGTCAATGTTGTGTCAATCACAAACTTAACAATCCAATCAGAGAACAGATGGGTTTGGCTGTGGAGGGGTGCTTTACTGACCTCCAGGTCTTCGCACCACGAAGGAAAACATGCTATGCGTGTCTGAGTTTGGTGAATTTTTTGTCACAGGTTTTCATGCTAATACGGGGAGCTTCAGAGCCTTTTCAAATACCCAGTGGACCTGGGGGGGAGTAGTGTTGTGGAAATGACACACTGTTCACTAGTTGGGATAGTTACAAAGCTTTCTTTGTTATGAATGAGCGATTCATGTTTTTATTGAACATTTGAAGATAATACAACACAAACTCTTGTAGAGGTTATAATGTCAGAGAGAGACATGTTTTGAAAAGACAAGCAGGTTCTAGTGATGGGATTTCCGGCTCTTTTTAGAGAACCGGCTCTTTCGGCTCGGCTCACTAAAAAGAGCCGGGTCTTTCGACTCCCAACCGGATCTTCAGATTGTTTTGTTGCTTAAATTAATTTGTTATTAACAACAATATAAAATTATGCACAGAATGAATTACTAATGTAAAAAAAACAAAACGCGGTTTTATTTATATATGTTTATAAATAAATATATACGGTGGCCCCTAGAGACAAAGCACGTACAAACTCCAAAATGCATTTCTAGCGTTAACTGAACTTCCAAAACAGAGCTACCTAGATCACTAAAATTACACAATTGAAAGCATATGTGTATTGTTTGTGTATTTATACAAAGGCACTCATATATATTCAAATAATTGAAAAGTAAATTTCATTTACCTGTTACTACCACACACCAAATCCGGTCGTTGGTACTTCCTGACTTGTGTAGCCAGTAGGTAACAAAAGCTCAACACTGCGCCTAGCATCCTGGAGCACTTCTGTTGTGTTTGTATGTGCTTCGGAGATTGTACGTGCTATGGAGTTTTTACATGTTATGGAGTTTTTACGTGCTTCGGGGTTTGTACATGTACACCACCACCATCAACTTTGCTAAATTACTAATGAAAAACATCGACCAGGCTGCAATTGAGCAGCAATGTCCATCCAACTCTTTTCACAGTTGTTGTGGTCGTGATAATTTTGTGAGGCCATATTGAAATGCTCAGATGAGCTTGCCAAAGTTTTTCAAGTTGTGCCTCTATCGCCTGTGTCCAGATCACACGCTGCACTGTCATGCTACTACGTCTTTCCACTTTCATTTCTGTTTGCGCGTGTGCAGTGTGAGAGGCTGCGTTGACACCCTCACGAGGGGCGACAGGATTTCGAACAGGTTTGATTTTCTTGTGACCATTGATGATCGGGACCTGGTTGTGAGGTGTTAGTTGCTTCTCGTTACCAAATGTATACTACACAATGTCTTGTTTCAGTCTAGGAGTATTAACAACATAAAACATGATACTAGGCAAATAAGGATTTGCTGTTATCATTACACACAACACACGATTAAGGCGAAACTCAGGCCCATCCCCAAAACGGTCGCACGACTGAAAAATCTGCTCAAAATGGGCCAGAAATTGCACAGTGTGTGCCCAGCTTTAGTTAGCCATGAGTGCCTCCGTTGTGAAAGGGTCTTTATTCTGCTCAGTGTGACTCACAGCAATGGTCCCTGGTCAGCCCTGACTTTGTGTTAAAGTCATACTAAAGTAAAATATCTGGTGCTATACCAGATATTTCTGGTATAGCACAAAATTATCCTTTCAACAGTTATTGAAAGTTAAGAGACCTAGCTTGTATGAACCTTATGGGATATTCATATAGAGATCCTCCAGCTTCAAACTGTATTACCCTTCCAGGACCTGAAGCTCAGTAAAGCACCTCTTCAAACACAATCTGTTCTCTGATTGGAATGTTAAATTTGTGATTGACATGACATTGACCAATCAGCTGAAAGGAAGAAAAATAAAGTCAAAATTCAAACTAGTAAGTTGAAACTCACACAGCCAAAGAACTTGAACACAGAGTTCTACACATAGCTTATTGCTTTGTATCTGTAACCAGACCTTAACATAAACAATTTGTAACTTGTGTAAATCTTTTTTACATACACACAAATTCTCATGTATAGACGCAAAAACATAAAAATTTCAGATATTTTTGTTTACAAGGTTACAAAACTCAGTTCACAACTATGCATCTGATTTAAAAGTACAAAATATTTATGACCACAATTTGAGCCCTTAGGAAATAATTCTACAGGTTTACAGAAAAGCCAATTGAAAACAAGGAACAAGAAATAAGAAAACTAGGAATTTCCTAGGCGCACTGAGGTAACAAAAAGCAAAGAGGGTGTACAACGCGACAACGGACAGAGGAAAACACAGGGTTAAAATACACAAGGGAGTAACGAGTGAATGGGAAACAGGAGGGACACACATCTGGAACTAATCAGATATAATGAGACAAAGGGCAAGCAAAGCTCAAAACAATGAGACTATTAAAGTAAAACAGGAAACACAAGACAGGCAAGAAGACACAGACTTGACAAGGTGGCACAGCTGACTGGGAAGAGACAGGGAACATGGGACACGGGAAGAGAAACTAAACACGGGTTAAGATGAAAACTGAGGGAGGGAGAACTAAAATTACTGAGAGCTTGAGAAAAAGGATAACCAAAACCAAGAACAATAATAAACAAGTAATGTTAAACCAAAAAAAAACAAACACTGCCATGACAGTAAATGTGCATTATAACAGGCATGTCTCTGTAGCTATAGCTCGATCAACAATTCTTTTTAAATATAAAGTTTTAGGTTAAGGTTTTCAGTCATTTCTAATATCCTGACAGCACCTGTAGTCCACACAAAGCTCGGGAGCCTGAAAGGTGAGTATGTGAGTGTGAAAGGGAAGGAGACTGGCGTCCATGCCTACCTGGGTGTCCCATTTGCCAAACCACCCCTCGGCCCTTCCTTGAGACTGGCTCCACCTCAGCCTGTAGGAGGATGGGAAGGAGTAAGAGATGCCACTAAACAGCCACCAATGTAAGAAATGTGAACTTCAACATACTTGGAGAAATCATTGACTTTATTTGTAAAATTAGCATTGTCTCTCTTTAAGGTGCATTCAGTCTAAAGAAGCTGTTTTGGATCTGGTTGATAAACTCGGTGGACTGCTGGCAGAAATACCAGACATCTCTGAAGACTGTCTTTACCTCAACATTTACACTCCTGCAAAAAGAGCTAATAATGCCAAGCTCCCAGTAAGAATCTTTTGCTGTAGGTTTTGAGGGATGCCTAAACACAATCTCAGTAAAGACACCCATCTTTAGAACTCAATTGTACATTTTATCATCTAAAATGTAAACTTAAGTTTACATTACTGTTTTCTCTGTTTAAAGTTTAAATTCTTAAAGATTAGTTTTTGTAGCTTGACTGAGACTCCAAAAGATCCTCTAAGCTTTGACAGAATGCTCTTTTATTGTTCTGTCCAGGTCATGGTCTGGATTCATGGTGGGGGTTTTACGCTGGGATCAGCTTCAACATATGATGGCTCTGCCTTGGCTGCTTACCAGGACGTGGTTGTGGTTCTGATCCAGTATCGCTTAGGACTTCTGGGTTTTCTCAGGTAAATAAACTCCATCCATCCATAATCTCTCCAACGGGTCGGCCCCGTGGCCTCCTTCCAGTGGAACACTGGGAGCCCAGAACTCCTCACCAAGGAGGTGTCCAGGAGGCATCTAGTCAAATGCCTAAACCACCTTAACTGGCTCCTTTTGATCTGGAAGAAGAGTGCTCTGAGTCCATCCTGAATGTCCAAACTCCTCACCCCATCTCTAAGAGAGAGGGCAGCCACCCTTGGGAGAAAGCTCATTGTCACAGCACCAATCTGTCCATAAAAATTATGAACAGAATCTGTGATAAAGGGCAACCCTGGTGGAGTCCAGTACCCCTGAGGAACAATTATCATTTATTGTCAGCAATGCAAACCAAGCTCTTGCAACAGTTCTATAAGGACAGAATGAACCATGACAATGGGCCTGACACCCCCATACTACTGAAGCATCTCACAGAAGAATACTCTGAAGGACTTAACTGAAAGCCTTCTCCAAGTCAACACAACACATGTAGGCTGCTTGGGCCTCGAGACGATAGAGAGCTGTGTTCCGCACCCGGGAGGAGCGGGAGGAAAAGCACATTGTTCCTCCAGTACTAGCAGTTCGACTAATTGACACACTCTCTATTCCAGAACCCTGGCATAAAATTTCCTGTGGAGGATGAGGAGTGTGATCCCCATATAGTTGGAACAGACTGTCTTATCCCCCTTCTGGAAGATGGGAAGCACAACCCAGGCCTGCCAGTCTAGTGGTATGGCCCCTGATCTCCCCGCAACATTGTAGAGACGTGTCAACCAAGACAGTCCTACAATATCCATAGCCTTACAGAACTCAAGGCGAACCTCATCCACTCCAGGGGCCCTGCCACCAAGGAGTTGTTTAACTGCTTCAGTGAACTCTCCCCTGGTTAAGCATTAGGTGCCCCACTTGTCGCCAGACTCTGCTCCTGCTACAGAAGACATGTCAGTGAGAGAAAGGAGGTCCTGTTTCCTTTAGCCGCCTGACAATATCCTCAGTTGAAATCAGCAGCACTCCACCAGCACTTTACACAATGTCGGTAAAGCACCCCTTTCCCCTCCTGAGCTGCCTGATAGTGTTCCAGAATTGCTCCAATGAGATCTGAGTCTTTTTTCATGGCCTCATTAAATTCCTCTCACACACAAGTTTTTACTAGACTCTCCAGAAGACTGGTTCTAGAGCCAAAGACACACCTTCAAGTGAGCCTGACTAGGCAGTACCTCTCAACCTCCCACACTAACTGAAACTTCTTCTCCACCAGAAAGGTGACATTCCATGTCTCCATCACCAGCTTTAGTAGTGGGCATCAGTCTCCCAGGGTCTCCATCCTTGGTCGCCACTGGCACACACTGTACCCAACCCCTACGGTGCCTCCCATCTCCCTTGTTCAAGCATTGGGGCCAGAGTAACCCTTTCCCAGGCCTGGTAAACTGTTCCCTCGATGTTGGACCCATGGAAATATAAATTAACTCAAGTCATCAAAGTAGAACATACTGTGGTTTTGTTTTTCTGTGTTTTTATCTGATTTTATAAGACAAAAAATTGAAAGTTGGCTTTATTTATCACAAGGTATAAACATAGCTTGGTAAATTTTTTACTGCTTTACCGTATCACTCAGCTTCAGCAAATGTGTGGAAGTGGCATATGCAGCTACTGCCCAACTGGACAAACAGAATGCAAAAGTGGTTTTCAGAATCCTCTACTAGCTGCTGTCAATAACACATGAATAGAAGTGTCTTGTAAAAAGATGTTTCAATCAGGGAAAATACATTATAAAAATAACATTTTGTTCTATCAGCACTGGAGATGAGCACATTTCAGGGAACTTTGGCCTCCTGGACCAGGTTGAAGCTCTCAAGTGGATCCAGCAGCACATTCACAACTTTGGAGGAGACCCAGGATTAGTTACTATATTTGGAGAGTCTGCTGGTGGAGTGAGCGTGTCTCTTCTGGTAAGAATCTACAGTTAGAGGAACT